GTTCTATACATTTGTTCCCCTAAATCTGTATGTTCTAACATTTGTTCACTTACCTCCTTATGTTCTATACATTTATTCCCTTACCTCCCTATGTTTCACATATGTGAATATTCAAGTCATTAAAGTTTAAAGATGTGTTTTTTTTTTAACTCTTTAACAGACCATTACAATAAAATCACATTTGTGACAGAAAGAGTTCAGCCCTGAAACTGTCTGTCCTGCTAGTTTCCTGCTTTCAGGCATCTCAGGTTTAAAAAAAAAAAAAAAAAAAAAAAAAAGATATTTGTTGCTGTGGTTATTCCTCCTCGTCTTGTCGAACAATTGGGACACCTTTGGATGGGAAAAAAAAAAGCATTATTTTAGTCTAAACAAACATTTTCCTGTGAATGTTATTATTTTTATTACGCCTCTTCCTCATCTGCTTGCACATGTTTTTTTCCGTTTGCAGTATAGGCCCTTCAGAGTGGGCAGACCTGGCCCAGGTGATATTCATGGACCGCATGAAATCGGCAATTGAAGCAAAAACAAACTGAGAGGGAGTAGTGTAGTGGATAGTAGCTTCGTCTGCCGGCCTGAAAATCATGAGTTTGAATCCACTCTGAGTCTGATTTTGTTTTCACAAAAATTTATCTTGGCTCCCAGGCCGAGCCGACCTTAAATTGGTACCAGGTAAAGTCATGGGAAGTGAAGGTGGCTAGAGTGATGTTTACAACATCACTCAGTGAGAGGTGACTGACTGACTGGTCTATACAAATCTGAGCCCAGCGTCATATGCTTGAGGCACCAAATTACCCTGTGCGATTTCAACTGCAAGCTATTTGGGAGCAGACCTCTTTGAACTTATTTCAACGATGGTGGGTTCATTTAGAAAGCATTAGCAAACTACCAAAGTAAAGCTGCCTAGCAAAATCACAAATTTAGAAAGATGGGGGGGACATGGGGAGAGCTCCATGCAATTGCGAAGGATAGAACGACTTAGCGTGAGTTGGTTGAGGGCCTGTGCTCCATTGGGGGATAGAAAGGCAGACAAAGAAAGAAAGAAAATCACAAACAGCCTCCCAAAAATGCTAGGGTTGGTTCTGCAATGTCCTCTAAAGAGTGGTGAATTGATACATAACAAGGGAGATGTGATCAAGGCCTTTTGGGAACAAGCAACGGAATCAGTAAAGAAACAGGTTATTATGGCCTAGAGAGAATAAGGCACCTGGGTGTAACCAGAGGGTTTGTCCGGCTCACTACACTCAGAGGAAAGGCGAGACAGACATATGACAAGATTGTGACCGGTACCATCAGTATTGGAACTCTGCGCTGGTTGCTGAAGATGAGGATGGAGCACACATGGGAATGCCCCGAGTGCTGTGATGTCAATTCTTGACTCAACTCAACTTCCCATAAAGAATACGCAACTAGTTTAGAATAGTTAAAAGTAAGATTGTATTGTGATACTGCTGGCAGCATTATAATTTACCTTTACCATACCGAAGGGTGCCAAATTATTACTTGGTGTGGCCACTGAAGTTTTTAAAAAGAAAAAAAAAGAGTAAAGGACCGTTTTCATGCCAGTAGCACATCTGGCATATGATACTTGACTCATATTTTATCAGCCTTCAATGGGCGATGTATCACCCCACTCACCTTTATTTCCCAGGACCTTTGGGCCATAAGGTGGAACAAGACCAAAGTCCAGAAGTGGACAAACAACCAGGACTTTCCACTGGAATTTACAGCCAGTGAACATGAAGAAGAAGAATGTTTCCAAGCATATGCCATTACTTGAGTATTAAGCTACTGCTTTAATAAAGTCTATCAAAAGTACAATGTCAACAGAACTTGCAGGCAGTGTTATGTATTGTCCCCCCGTTCTTCAACTCACCATCTAATTTTTTCAACTTGGGAAGTTTCTTGGCAACATCATCCCTCTCCCTTCTCCATGTGTTTTTTTGGGTCTTCCTTTATTCCTATGACCTTGCGGGTCCCAATGCAAAGACATAGTTATATTGTTCTTAGGTTTTCTCAACACATGTCCTATCCAATTCTGGCATCTCTTCTTCACCTTTTGGTTCTTTTTCTCAAAGCTCTCTTTCGCTAGCATCAGGGCCACTTCTTCACTGTGGGGAGAATTTTTCTCTGTATATGCTGAGAACAAAATAGTTTCTCCTGAATTTAGAATACTTCTCCCTGCCTCGGTCCATCTAGTTTCACATAATCCTAAAATACTAATCCTATAATGTTTCATTTCTCTTGATACTTCTATTGTTCTTCCTACATCGTACTAAGTTCTAACATTTTAGGTGCCAATTCTGGAGGTTCTCCTAGGTGAAAGGAGGTATGTCAACAACCGTCAGCGATCTGGACTCCTTTTGGCTTTCTCTAGACCCTCAGCTAATTCATACTAAGCTCTTTTAAATTTGTTCATGCTTGACTGGATTTTGCTAAATTTCAAGAGAACGAGGTAGCCTAAAATCTGTCACACGCGAGGATAAGCCCCTTAAACCTCCTCATTGGGAAGCAAGCAGGTGAACTATTACATTAAAACGATTTACCAACATCACATTATTATGCACGTCAGAGCAATATATGTTCCAATGTTTGTTTCCATCTATGTGTTCAATGGCAACACTCATACAATTTGTGAAACAGCAACAGATTAAATGGTTTGGGGGTTTGACACAGAGCTGCCCGGCTCTCTAGCTTAGTTGGCTAAACCGGATTGCGCGGTGACCGGGTGACGAACTCCTTGTGGTCCGGGTTCACTCCCGGGGGTAGGCAGAAAAGCCACATTTCTCCCAGATTTACAGTATTTACTATGGAATCAAGGCCGAAAGGTTGCGATATCCATAATACCGAGCCTAAGGGTTAACAACTCATGGCGTCTGGATTCTTAAAAAAACCAAACAAACAAACAAACGACACAGAGCTACACTGAAGAAACATACATAATAAGCGCAGCACAGGAAAGACTGCGCAAAACATAGAATGGCAACATCAAGAACAACTTTGGAAAAATTAAGACTACTTATTTAGCACTTTGGAAAGAGGAAGGAGAACCTTACACCCCCCCCTCCCCTAACACTCTACTGAAGCTAGTTTATCGACAGATCATCCTCATTGAACATCAAGCCATTCAGTCCAAAAGTGCTTGGATCCCCTCCTCAGTAAATCTCAAAGCATGCAGTACAGCTGATGTCACCAGTTCTGTGTTGGTCTATCCTTCTTCATTTAGTTCGACATTAGTCTCCCCAAACAAAGCAGGTCATGTTCCATTGATAACTTTGTTGGACTGGTCTACTTTCCAGGGGTTATGGGTGTGCCACTCTGTTGTTTGCTTTCTAGCTTGTCTTGCATTTATGTTTTTCTTCCGAGAAAGAGGGGGGTTGTGTGTTAGACCCAGTTTCTCCATGTTTTTGTAGAGTTAAAAGTGCTGGAGCGCTGAAATATACAACATGCGACAACATGCGACAACAACGGCATTGGGGAACACCCCTGTAGCAGTGTGTGAAGGTCGTGCGGCTCAGGAACTACCAATCAGAAGTGAGCTAGTGTGTATATGGGTGGGCTCTGGTGGGACTAACGTGGAACTAACCCCTTCTTCTTTCAGACTACTTTAACTCCTCCCACCCACACATTTTTTTTAGGGGAGTTAAATGCCCCTCTCAAATTTTGTAAGGAGGTTAGCAGGAGTTGCATTTTTTCGGTAAACTCATATTGAGAATACAAAAAGCAAAGGAAAATGAAGAAAATTAGAGTTTATTCAGCTAACATTTAAACTTTGTTTCTCTATAAACGTATAAAATTTATCTTTAAAAGCATTTTTTGTACACACATTTCATCTTATTTTAACTGAATTATAACATTTATTTACCATTCAGCACACTATTATTATAATGCTCTCAAACTAGGATTATACCCTTTTACTGCTCCCTTTTTTAGCATGCCTGTATTGATATACCAATGGCAGAGGAAAATAAGGAATGTTAGAGCTTGTTCAGCTATGAATTCAAACATTGCTTTGTTTCTCTGTTTCTTGTTTTTTCCATGGATGTCTGAATATCAGTAAGTTTATGAAAGTCTAAAAATCTAATTCCACTTGTTTATCATTTCAAATAATTTAACCTTTTGGAGATAACTCGGCTGATCTATCAGCCCCAACAGCAATGCAGCCAAAAAGTACTGTTGGGCTGATCCATAGGCCCCATAATACAAGCCTTGAGATTGGCTGGCAGGTTGTCATACCAGCTAATCAGATTGCTTCTCGCATTTCTTGCACGTGAGCTGTTTAACGATGGCTTTCGTGAAAGTTTGTTCTGTTCTGTAACCTTTTGGAGATAACTCGGCCGATCTATCGCCCCAACAGCAATGTAGCCAAAAAGACTGTTGGGCTGATCCATCGGCCCCATAATACAAGCCTTGAGGTTGGCTGGCAGTTTTTGGTACCAGCTAATGAGATTGCTTCTCGCATTTCTTCCAAATGAGCTGTTCACTGTTCAAAGATGGCTTTCGTGAAAGTTTGTTCTGTTCTGAAATTTTACATAATTTTTTTGGGGGGGGGGGCGTGGGGGGCGGGAGATTACCTGTGCCCAACAATAGTGAAAAGGACTGCTGCATCTAAGCTACCAAAACATAGCAGGAGGCTGGAAAAGAAGTAGAACCATGTGCCAGAGGTGTCTGGAGGTCCTACATAGTCCTTGCTTCCCAAAACACAAGTGTTAGGAATTGTTCAGGCTTCACTCATCAGAAAATGTAGCCACACTGTTCAATTTAGTCATTTTTATTCTAAGTAATTAACAAAGAAATTGCATCTAGATAGCTAATTTGAATAAATGTTGAGGTGTCATTATGATTCATAAATGTGTTAGTTCATTCCATTTCCTATAAGAATATACATATATTTTTAGTTTACTTTAATTAAACGCTTTATTTTTTATAATTCCGTCTTATTGGCACTGAAACTCCAAATAAAGCTCCATCTCCAAAGAGTTAATTTGTTTATGTTTCTACACTCACCATAGAAAAGAAGATCCTCCAGGTGTGGCATGTCTGCCTGCAGATTAGAATAAGCACAGAATTTCATTATCAAGGGGCAACATTCAAGTAAAATCACTCACCTGATGCATGACTAGCATAAAATGGGCCTTTTTACATTCATGTAAATGGTAACATTTTTAGACAGACGAATCAGGTCCGTAGACAGATTTAGGAAGTCTAGTTTGAGAATGGCGGTGGAGGCAGTCACTGCTGCCTTCCGCTGGCCTGAGAATCAGCTGTACACACATGCTGTGATTGTCACTTACTCAGAGATCATGTTGAGAAAGGTGGAGACAGGTATGCTCTGTGCTGAGTGGCAAGCATCACTTCAGAGGTCCCGGGTAATTACTATCCTTTGGATATTCTCTCCAGATGATGCCGGTGTGTTGGGAAATGAGCACGGAGATAGACTGACTGGTTCTGCACTACTTGGTGGTGAACTGATGTATGACAAGCTAGACGTTGTGAGGGTCCTCTGGGAGCGAGTGAACAGTGCGAAGGTGCAAACAGATCATTACAGTCTGAGGAGAACAGCGCTGCAAGGAGTTACCAGGGATTTTGGCCTATGCTCAACACTCAAGGAAAAGGTGAGATGGATATACCATCAGACAGTTACTGGTGTCATCGGAACTGGAACTCTTTGTTTGCAGCTGAAGATGGGGATGGAGCGCTTATGGAGGTGTCCTGAATTCTATGATGTCAATTCTTAATTCAACATTCAACAAATATTATTGGAATTATAGTGCTGCCTTGATATACATTCACTTTGGTTTACGTTTAACATGGTATATGTCCTATTAAGATATGAAAACTACTGCTTGGTATACAAAACTTGTTTGGAATATGACCCACGAGCTAAAACTTGTATGAATTTAATTAGTCACAACACTGCAGGCTATCTTTGTTTTCCCCTTGAGACAAAGGCATGGATAGAAATCAATGACTTGGCAGAGAAATATCACACCAACAAAGTGTGAACAAACTGTATTGGCACTGTCGGGAATGACCAGACACAGTTATATTTATGAATCATCCTGTGGAGAAGGCAGATGCAAAGTTCTTTGGACAGATAGTTACTAACAGACAAACCTGATAATCAAAGCTTCAACCAGGTTTAAGTAGCGAAGAGACAGAAGAAGGGAAAGAAAAACAAGAATTTCAGATTTCTGAAGTTTTACTGGAATGAGACTCTCCTTCCAAACAATAGTATCTCCTCTTGCTTTCTCAGTACCATCCTAATAGGCACTCAGCTCTTTTCAGGAAGGTAAAGAAGGTAAAGTTTTAATTTATTTAATCTAACTGCTTTTTTATCTATGAAATGTTAGTATTAAGCAGCATATCAATTATTTTATACAACTCCATTAATGTATTATAATGTGCCAAAAATAAAATAATTGTTTTAATGGGAACGGATTAATCATTCTCTCTTTATTTCTTTTTGGGAAAATTTGTTTGATATACGTACTCTTTGATAATTGTCCAAGGATCAGGAACAGATTAAGTATGTATATACTGAGGTACCACAGCATTAACAAATTGGGCCTAATCTAGTATGTGTGTGCTGGGTTCTCATGAGCTGGTTACATCATAATATGCCTCTTTGCAGATGTGACAGTACCTGTCTTGCACCTGTGTTGGTTTCAGCAGTTAGAGAGGGAAGGGAGAAGTTTACATTACAGTTTTGGCTGAGATGCTTCCGTATCAGGCTGGAAGGAAAATCTCTTTACTCTAATTGATGCAAGCCTTTTTTAGGACTGGACAAACTAACACTAATGCACAGAAATGATTAAAGAGTTCACAATATTCAGTCATCCAAGGATTCTCAACTAACCACTGCTTATCTTTCTTTATATGTTTTATTTTATTTTTATAGGTGGTCTCCATGGTGAAGTAATCAAGTCATTTGTCTTGCCCCATGAAAACTATGGGTTTGTTTCCTGGATGCATAATCAAACCTAATTCATAAAGTCCATCATTTCTGTTTATGTTCTTTGGTCTCTTTGTGTTTTGATAGTCACTTTCTGATACATATATACAAATATTACTTGCAGTCTTAGGGTCAACGATGAAACCTACTCCGAGTTTTGCATGCTGGGTCATGTCTATACCAGAGTATACCAATAAAGAATCTTTGTGTAACCTTTCTGTCCATTTTTTCCTTCAATCTTTATTCTGCCAAACCTAAAACCTTCACTTGGAGTTTTTCCATCAGTTGTGTAGTCACATCTGCTTTATTGCACCAGCCACATATATTTAACGTTCCTACTCTATGCCAGTCTTGTTTGTTGAACTTACTTTGCACACTCTCACATCTCCAAAATCTTTCTTGGGCATCACCGTGTATGTAGTTAAATCTTCCACTTGTTTGCCAGACGTGATGTAGATTCATGTTTAACTAAACACTTCTCCTCACAAACACAATATTCACATTTCCTACATGTTAGAACACAGATTTATCACTTACTTCCACATGTTTAGCACACAAATTTATCTCATATTTAAACAAAATCTCAGAAAAAGGAACACATTAGTGACGTGCGATGTCTGCCTCGCCAAGGACAAAGCATTTGACATAGCGTTTAGGAATTTGTTGTGGAACTGTTCAAGAAGATATGAAATCAGCAAGCATCTAACCGAAGTGTGTTAGAGCTTATATACATCAAGTAACAGTTACATATGAACAAAAGCAGGTACATCGCAACCTTTTGAAGTAAATTCAGAAGTAAGACAGGAATGTGTGATATCCCCCTTTTTTTTATACCATACATCGACAATATATCAAAGAAGCAGAGAGCGAAGAAAAGAATGATATCTCAGAATGGTTATTTGCAGATGACCAAGTATTAATAGCTGAAACAGAAGAGAGTTTACAGAACCATATAAACCAAGTCAATACTAAGTGTGAGAAATATAATATGAGGATCAGTATTAATAAGACAGAGACAATGGTAATAGGTAGACAAGAAAAATCTATATCAATTAAAATAAAAAATAGTGCAATAAAACAAATGAGTGAATTTAAATATCTAGGGTTATTTTTCACCTCAGATGGAAGAATGGATAGAGACATCAACATGTGATGTGCGCAAGCAAATCAGGTTATGGGACACTTAACACCGCTTCTGACTCACAGAAAGATTCATGAAGCAAATTTCATAAGACCGTTTTTTTTGGCTGACATTGAGCTACCAGTGCCAAACATGGACCCTTACTACAACTAATGAGCGGAAGGTCATAACAACAGAGATGAGATGTCTTAGGAAAGCTGCTGGTGTGACAAGGAGAGATAAAATCAGGAATGAAGAAATTAGAAGAAGACTAGGACAGAAACCAGTCATACAATTCATTAAAGAACAATAAAAAAGATGGTTTGGCCACCTGACGAGAATGCCCTGGCACCAGCTGCCATAAAGAGCCATGCTGAAGAAATATAATGAATACCGAGCAAGGGGAAGATCACGCAAGAGATGCAGCAACACCAGCAGGAGAAACCTAACAGAAATGAACACCAACTTGTACAGTACATTGGAAAAAGCGCACAAACGATCTTTACATCTCCCCCCAACACCTCGCTAAAGTAAATGGTGGAAGAGAAGAAGAAGACTCTTTTTTTGGCACCTGAAGGTTTCATAGGAATTTAATGTGAAGAAATAACCATGATGAAAATCGTGAAATCATTACTTTCAAAGTGGCAATATACACAGTGGTAGTGACTATGTGGGGAAAGCCAGATTTCTTTATTATGTTCGGACCAAAAATTAACAAATAAGAGAGCACATTATGCTATGTAGTAGAATCAAGGGGTAGATTCATTAACACATCAGGTACTGCATGGGATGGACAGTGTTAACTTTAATCTGTTTTATTAGTCTGGTAGTCTTAGTTTCAGCTTCATAGTAAACGGGTTGCCCCATCTTTGCTCCGCTGCTGTGCCAGCGAAAAACACTCAGAATGTCTATCACAGTCCCTTGTGGAAAGATTGACAGACTGCTGTCTCAGCATATCTAGCATACACTCGCATTAAAGCATATGGTAGCCATCCGAAGTGCTAACACAAACAGTCCAACATTAGAAATGCAGTTCATCATTGATGATAGCAAAACTTGTCAACAGATCAGCAGTTGTCCGCTGTTTTATTCCATGATCTTAGCCCACACGATCTTATTCATCTTTTAAGTTGTTAATGCAACATACCAATTTGTTGAACTCATTCCAGTCAGCAACCTTGTTGTTTGACATCCATAAAATCTGAAAAAAAAAAAAAACCTGCAATGGACAATATGGAAAGAACAGCCTGATAACTATCTTCATGCTATAATTATTCTACATGGATCAATGTTAAGCAGATTTTCTTCACATTTGTTTTTTCATTTATTTATTGTTATTTTCATTTTCTCCCTGTTCTTTTCCTTTTTCATTATTAATGTTTCGTTGCTCGTTTAGTAACACTTCTTTTGTGGCTAGTTTCAGTATTTCTATTAAATGTGGTTTTCTTGCTCATTTGGTTTATTATTCCTGCTTTAGTTGTTTTAAAGATTTAAAAAAAAAAAAATTTTTTTATTACTTTAGTATAAATGAATGTGTAAAGCTTTATTTTAGCAATATTTCTAATACAGCAGCCAATGACAGCCTACTTAAGAATTGACTACACATCACTGAAGTTATCCCACAAGCCTTCCGCCCAACACCCCCCCCCCCCCCCCCCCCCATCTTCAACAGCCAAGGTAGTTCAATTCTGATGGTACCTAAAGCAGTTCAATTATATGTCCACCTTGGCTTTCTACTTTGGTTTGGTGTTGCACAGATCCCTTAGTCACTTCCTGCTGCACCTTAGTCACTTCCTGCTGCACCTTAGTCACTTCCTGCTGCACCTTAGTCACTTCCTGCTGCACCTTAGTCACTTCCTGCTGCACCTTAGTCACTTCCTGCTGCACCTCAGTCACTTCCTGCTGCACCTTAGTCACTTCCTGCTGCACCTTAGTCACTTCCTGTTGCACCTTAGTCACTTCCTGCTGCACATTAGTCACTTCCTGCTGCACATTAGTCACTTCCTGCTGCACCTTAGTCCCTTCCTGCTGCACCTTAGTCCCTTCCTGCTTCACCTTAGTCACGTTAGGCTGCACCATACTCTCCAAACCAGTAAGATCTGTTAACAATTCCACATTTTCACGTACTCCCAAATGGACTTTATCCATCTACATTGTCATTCTCACTTCGCCACCATGTGATGCAGGAACCAGCCAGTCTTTCTACATGTTCATGTTTCAATTCACCAGCATGTCTTGGAGACAAATTACAAGGATACTAACCATCTGCAACTTCAGAAGCCATGTTTTCCCATCTGCATGAAACCCCACCTGTCTCCATTTTAATACTTACATAATTACAACAATAACAAAAATAATAGTGAACAAACCTTTAATTTCTTCAGAACATTTATGCCTTTGAGTTTCTCAATCATGTTGTAAGAAATCCAGAGCTGTTCTAATGTGTCTCCTACGGCTTCCTGCAAACAAACAAATAATTAGTTTATCATTTAATTAACTAACTTATTTTATTTAAGGTTATTACAAGCTATCATATCGATTTCAGGTTTTCTTTAAATGGCTTATTTAAACTATCTAAATTAGGTCTAGTAATGTTTTCAATAGATGTGCCTCCATAAAATGATGTCAAACCAGCTATGAGGACTATTCCATATTTCAACCTCCAATTGGCTGGCAATAATAAACCACTTGCTATAGCAACACCGTTCACTGCTTTCATCATTCAGTAGTCTTTTAGCTCACTACACATCAACCTACATTCACATTTGTTTGGTGGTTCACTAATCACAAACTAATAAAACATGGGCACAGTTATTGACTTTCCTACTAGCTGTGAAATTCGTTGTGTGATTTGTTTTCTTCAAGCAGAAGGCCAAAATGCTGCCAGCATTCATAGCTCACTGTTGACATGTGTATGATGATAGCATTATGAATGACAGCTCTATGAGGGATGTTTGTAGGGCATTCAGAGATGATGTAAAGATGTACATGATGAGGGTGGACAAGGACGACATTCATGTGTGACAGATGAGCTCATTCAAAACCTTGACCAAGTCAAAGTGAAAAAGTGCCGTTTGACAATTTCTGCCAATTGGAGTTTGATTTTGGAATAGCCCTCATAATATCTCTCTTGGCTTCCCATTGCCCCCCCCCCCCCCCCCCAACTTTTCCATTATCATAACATAATCAATCTTTCCTTCTCATGTCATGCCAAAAAAAAAGCCTTCTGTCATCTTCCGATGTGATTAGCCATTTCTTTTGGTGATAAATCCTCATCATCCTATTGTTGTACCATTTATAGGTCATACAGAGATCACACTCTAAGTTTCTCCATTTCCCCCCTTTTTGCTCAATACTGGCTTCAAAAGATGTTCAGGCTATTTTAGAACAGCATTTATATCTTCAGTGATCTGCCAGATCTAGGAGGCAAGGCAACTGATACTTTAAAAAAAAAATCTTGCTCCTCTTGGTTGCTTGCAATTTCTTGCACTGGTTTCTTGCACTGTTCTGCCTTGTGAAAAGTGCTTTGGTGAGTTTTTTAAATAGTGATTTACCCTTTGTTCTTTGGGCCTAAGCTGCAAAATAATTTGCGACTAAAACAGTTAACTGGTTCTGAAAGTAAGAGAAGTATACTTTATCTGGACTATCCGATTAACCTGCATGTTACAAGCAAATTTAATTAAAAATAACTACGAGTAGGCAGTGGTACAAGATACACTTACGACACAGAATTATTTAGAATTTAAAAAAAAATATCTTCGCCATGGACAAAAGCCACAGACGCTGACTTGATGGTACATAAGTATAAATATAAATCAAAAACAAAGCTTACCAATCCTGTCAAACTTTTGATATTATTTCTTCCCAAGGACAAAATTTTCAGGTTTTCTGTGAAAATTGTAGCGTAAATTAGAATGGGAAATTAAACAGAAAGCAATATTCAGTTTCAACTTGTCACATTAAATGACAAGCAGGTTTTTTTTTCTGGCGGTATGCAATGGTGCGCAGTACTAGCACTTTTCTAACACACCATTTCTACAGCTGTAATAGACACTTTGTGGTGAGTACCGACACCATTTAAACTCTTTGAGTACCAGAAGGGTTGAAGAGGTGCCCATATGTGTTGACCAAACTGATATAAAATAAAAATTAAAAAAAAAAAAAAAAAACAGGAGTGAATTGCTTTCAAAGACACTAAATACTGGGGAAGTCAGATTTTTTAGTGTGCTGTGACCAGTTAGGAAAAAGACTAGACCATATTACATGCTGGGTGGGGATTCACAGAAGTACTAAACACATATCAAATGTTGTTTGGAACTGAAAGGGTTCAGATACTTTATGGTGAGTACCAGCACCCTGTGTTCTAGGGAAAGAAAGCCTTGATGATAAGCAAGGCATATGGTGCCAGAACCATATTTTTATAGGCCAGTCAGCACTCATGGGGATGTGGTCAAAATCATGTGTGCTGTCTTTACTTACTATAAGATTTCCTGGTATCCATTTTAGGCTGGGCTGGTCTCTTCTTCCTCTTATTCACTTCTTTATGTTCGCTGGCTGTAAACTCCAGTGTAAAGTTCTGATTGTTCATTCATTTCTGGACTTTAGTCTTGTTACAGAATTAGGATTTTGCATGCACATCTGTTTTACAGATCTGGCTTTTTAATGTGCAGACCACTGTTTCCTCTCCTCTCAAGCAGATGCATTCCAGCTTGGAAGGAAAAAACCTAATTAGTCTGACCCGAGAGCTAAAGTCAATAATTAAAATTCTGACCCATTGCAGATTCAAAATCAAGATCTTTTGCAGATTCGAACCATCTCGCAGATCTGGTCATCTGGAAAAAGTGCTATCCTGGCTTCCATTGCCATGCTTTTGGACTAATGTAAAATTTTTAAAAAGTGTTTTTAAAAAAACTGCTTATTCATTGTTGCTGCACGCATGAAAACAGCCTGAAGAAATTATGTAAGTAAAGACTTCCTTCTTCTTCTTCTAATTCCTCTTAGCATTCATGGGCTGTAAACCCGGGCAGAAAGTTCTGGTTGTTCATCAACTCTTCATCGACTCTTTGACTGTGGTCTTGATCCAGAACTTGAGATGTTTGCACTTCCATGGACAGATCTTGCTTATTTGCATGCAGACTGTTGGTTCCTTGCCTCACCTGCAGATGCACTCCGACTCTGAAGGAAACGCCCCTAATTAGTCAATTCCTAAAACATGCTTGTTGCATGGGTTGGGGGAGGCATGGATCTAAACTTTGTTCTCCCAAACAGAGCCCCAAAGCCCATACGGAGAAGACTTTTTTCCCACTCCTTAAGGCAGGGCTATTAAACTGGTGGCCCACAGGCTCATTGGAGGAAGGGGAGGGGGGATGTTAGTTATTTGCTTCAACAGGGATTTGAACCTTAACAAACCATCTGATTGCGGTAAATGAACAAATTTAATAAAATGTCAAAACAAATTGTCACCTGAAGTACTTACTTAAACCATTCAAATTGGCTATCTTTTCTATTGCATTTGTTGACAAGGACAGCTTTCTGGTGAAGAAACAGGAATTTTATATGAAGAATTTATTCAAAAATATTTTTGTCTTTATGAGAGAGAGGTGGGAGGAGTGTGAGAGGGAGACGAAAGATGGGGAAGGGAGTTGGGGAGCAAAATATACACACATGTGGACAAACAGATGAAAACTCAGATAATAGACAGACAGCCGTGCCCAAAAAGCATGTTGTATTCTGTTGTATGCCATAAAAGAATAGTGAAAGTATGATTCTGTGCTCATATTTGCAGTGAGAAAGTGGCACACAAAGAGTGCTATGGTTTAATGGTTTGAAGAAGGATCGACATCATGGCACACGAGTAGTAACCCATAAGTGCTTGGTTCTACTTCTAACTCAAACCTGAGTCTGAAGAATCTCAGCACAGTGCATGAACCCCGTAGCACCAGCAAGGATCCTGGAATATTTTGGGTATGTTTTTACCTCCAAATTTTGCCCAAGCAGTGCTGTTGGGCTACTCTTTTCGATGTCTAACTGCCAACAATTTTTCTAGGTGCACAACAATACACACGGGTGTCAAATCTTACTACCCAGAGACCAGGGTAAATACTAGAAGTATACATGAAAAAATCCCAGCCTTCAGTGGGGCCTGAACCCAGGACCTCGAGATCACGCAGCCCTTCCCCCCCCAACTCTAGTACAGTAGACATTCTAGTACAGCAGATAGTCTAGTACAGCAGACAGCATAGTATAGCAGACATTCTAGTACAGCAGACAGTCTACTACAACAGACAGTCTACTAAAGGAGACATTCTAGTCCAGTAGACATTCTAGTAAAGCAGACAACATAGTACAGCAGACAGTCTAGCAAAGCAGACATTCAAATACAGCAAACATTCTAGTACAGCAAAAAATCTAGTACAGCAAAAAATCTAGTACAGCAAAAAATCTAGTACAGCAGACTGTCTAACAAATACATGTCACTTGGGTTAACGGCTTTGGGCAAAAGATACTAGCCTAATCCTAGGACAAAGAAATACAACATGAAAACCTGATATTATGGCAGTGCAGATCAGGTCCTTGGTACTGGTTGCCAGCTAGTCTATGAGGGAAGCTATGACCCGAAGACAGTCAGAGCTCTGATCTTCCAATCTGACAGCTTCTGCAGCATGCTTTGTTACAAACATGGCATCTTTCCTTTTCAATTAAGAAAGCGGGCTAAGGGAGGGATCATGCTGCATGGGCAACACATGGTTTCTACACGACTACCCCAACTTTGTCCGGTGGAGAAGAAGAACTTCATCCCTGGCCTTAATTAGTATCCCCTGGAGCTGTGATTCCTATACCTAGCTATGGCACATAGGAATACTATCGTCTGGCAGGGTGGAAAAATGCCAACAACATTTTACTTACTCACAGTTTGTAAGGGTTGACAAGGAGGCATCCATTTTCTCAATTGGAGGGCATATTCCAATTAATTTCACTTCCTTGCACTCACTTGCCTTTCCATTCTTTTCTTCCTATTTAAAAATATTTGTAAAATATTCAAACATTTCAGCCAAGACAATAGCGGTAAAAACTTGTCATTTAAATAAGATTCAAATAATATGTTGCACAATTTATTCCCTGACATAATGTTCTGTATCTCGTTAAGTGCATTACTACATATTTTTTTTTTTTTTTTTAACAATATACCTCAATATCATCATTATCCTTCTGCTGTGCCATTATACGTAACGTACTGCTTATAATCTAGCCATGCATCCCATTCTATCCTTTGCAATCTTTCCTATATCATGGATGCAATCCAGTCCAGCAACTTTGGCCTCTTTCAACGATCTTAGCCTTAGGAGTTCTCTTGCAGCATCCTCGTTTCCTCAACCCATTTGTTTCCCACTGTAGTTCCTTTTGGTGATTCTCTGTCTGCTTCTTCCCATGATGTGCCCAATTCAATAATTATGTGTGTGTGTATATACATAATGTGTGTATGCTCATGCATTCATGAGAGAGAGAGAGAGAGAGAGAGAGAGAGAGAGAGAGAGAGAGAGAGAGAGAGAGAGAGAGAGAGAGAGAGAGAGAGAGAGAGAGAGAAACAGACAGAATCACCTTAAATTTATTTGCAGAATGCTGCACTATCATGCTACAAAATCACACCACATGAAAGCGTGATGTAGTACACACTGAACATACCTTCCGATGTTGCAGTTTCTTATGAACAACCTTTTTAATTGTACCTATTGACACATTGAATTATCTTGCAAGCAAAACTGTGCTTCAACAATGGTTTACCTGTATTGCTACATCAATTTTGGCAATGTTATTTTTTTTTTCTGCTGCAAAAATGTGAGCTCGAAGTGACTGTGGAAGATCTGTCATGAATTCACGTTCTTTCCGAAAAAATTGTTTCCAGTCTGTCACTGTTGTCTTTGACATACATTTGTTACTGCACGCTGCCTGCATTCTTCGATAAATGTCTAGTGGTCATCATCCTTCAAATGAAATAAACTGAATCACTGCTCTTTTAAGCTTCTCTGGGTAAATTTTAGATCAACGCAGCTATTATCTGAATGGTCAGAAACAGAACCTATGCATCACTGGTAGGTAATTATCAGATGACTATGACAAGATTATGTTCAATGCACAAAATGAGGTTCAGTGTTTCAATGATGCATTTTATATTATAGTTACTTCATTCAATAAATCCCTTAGGTGCTATCTCTACTGTGCAGGCTGGCTGCAATGTATCCCAAATGCTATGTCTCTTGTCTTGGTTGTATGTTCTCTCATACTGCTGTTTGTCCATCTCTTGATGTTGTCCTCCAACATGCATTACTGTCTACCTCTTGCTTGTTTTTTTAAAAGAGTGTTAGGTCTTTTAATATAGCCAAAATATTTCACTCCTTTTTTTTCCAGCAACTTTCTTTTCCTTCCCAGTCTCTCTTCTGTATATGACTGTTTTTGTTTCCATGAAATACTTCTTTCTTCTTTATATCCATATCTCCAGAAGCTCAGTCAGACTTTCCAGCTGCTTGTTCATTGTCCAGGTTTCTGCACCATAGAGTAGAGTTGAGTGTCGCATGACAGCCCACACCCCTCTCGTCTTAGACTTACCCAGATCTTGTCACCTCTATGTAAACGAGGCACTTTCAAATCTTGGACTTTCCTCTATAGGTAAATAGTTCTTCTTTTGTATTTATGTGTCAAGATGTCAGGTTAAGAACTCATTTATATCTTTATTCTCTTAGGAATGACATATATTTAAATTCAGTCATTTAGGTGGGAAATTCATTGTTAGTGAAGTCAAATTCTATTGGCCTACCTATCGCTTTGGATGCAGATGAATCCCCTCTCGCCTTTTTCGAAAGAGATGCTTAGTTTGAACTCATTCTTGACTGAGCTTTCCGAGGTAACAGACAGCGTGCTGCCTTTTCTGTATATCTGCTTACCTCTGTTTGAATCACCGATTTCATCTGGTAATGTCCATGAGCACGGGTAAGTACATTACAGTTTATGAGTACCTTTCATTCGGCCTTGCTGCTGAGTGTCAGGCAGAGGTGGCTATGTGAAGAAATAGGACCTAGCTGACAAACCATTCAAATTGCAGGATGGTGCAAAACCAGAGCATTCCTTTACAAGCGGAGGAAAATTCTCTCCTCATACTCCTTCAATGGGTTCCAGACAGTTTAGACATTATATATATCCACTTTATAGTAGGCTTTGCTCACATTTGTATGTTCATAGGCATCCTTGAACTAGGGCGAGAATCAGAGACATAGCACACAGTATTGATTGATATCAGCCGGGGTCAGGTTAATTTTAGTACATGTGTGACGTCCTGTCCGTCTTCTCCCAAAGTGTAAACATGGAATGTCAGCGAGAGAATAAGATGGTTATATCATGTTTGTTTGGCCTGTACACGTTTCATACATCTATATTCCTGTATTCGTAGTGTACTTGTTTTAGAATAAGTATCTCATTATGGAAAGGGAATGGTACCATACCTTTATAAGTTGGCATATGCAAACTATTGTTGTCACTGGAGAGCAGCATTAGAGAGAGCTTTGGTTCTTGCTAACCTCACAGCTGTCAATGGCAATCCTGAGGTTTGTTACATACTTTTGCAGTCTTTAAAGGCTTAGCACAGACCTCTGAGCTAAACTATGTGGATATATGGATGGGTGGAGAACATGGTATAGTGTTGGGTGATTGCTAATTCTGGTTTTCCTCTTTGTCACAGGATATTAGTACTGTCTGGAAGCCAAGTCGACAGTCAGTATCCTAGCACTATCCAGTGTAACCCACATGCAGTAAACAGGAGGAGGGAACTGTTGTGTACCACTCATTCCTGCCCATGCACCATGTCAGTAACTCCATAGCCGACAATTGTCTGTGGTCCTGTGAGGTTCACCACCAGTTTGTATTGTCAATGATCAAATTCTTTAATGTGGTCATATTGCCTACAACTGCCCCGACCAGACAGTGGCATTAAGTTTAGACTGTAATATATTTTAAATTAACACAGACCAATCTTCCGTGAAATACCAGAGAACACTTGACTTTATCAGTGTGGTATGTGCGTAGACACTCATTTCAATTAATTATTGTGATTGCTATAATCTACAAGACAGAATTCACCAGACGTCATACCTGCTCCACCAGGTGTGTGAGGAGGCCTCCATTTAAATTAACAGGAAATCCTGTACAGATAAGTGGGATAGGCCTGTACTTGCGGTGGATCCTAACATTAAGTGTCAGTTTTCTAGGTCCAAACTTCCACAATTCGGCAGTGATGAACTTGGCTGTTATTAGGAACAAACCAGGAGCCTATCTGAAGTAGAACATTCTTTGCTTCCTTAGCTGGTTTGAATGACCTTGCTGAATTCTTTTCTTTATATTCCTACATGTGTTGCACTGATTACATGATGTTTCTATATTTTACATTCTGTTTTTAGTGTCCATCCTTCACAGTTCCAAAGTTGCCTGGAGTATCTGTTGTATTGTTATCCTGCATGCTATACTGTGTTAATGTGACTAGCATAGGATTGCTGCCTAGTCTGGGGGCTTAATAGTAGTGAGGAAGTCAGGCCAAGTTGCGCCTTGGGATGTTTACCAATTCTGTAGTGCCATAGTTTGAGTCGCCCCACCTCTGAAGTAGGTTAGATGTTCATTGCAGCTGCGGGATACTGCCTAGACCATTGCGAGCCAACATCTCAACACTAAAACTACTTCAGAGTGCCTTTTGGTTTATTAGGGGAAACCCTAACAAAGGCATGTGACACCAGCATTATGTGACATTGAGTATGCATAACATTTTACAGTTCATGTTTTTAATGTGTTGTTTATCTGTATAGTTACTTACATATTTGCCAAGAGCTTCTTTTATGGTTGTGCCTTTTGACTGCAAATAAATTGGCAATTTTATTTTTTGCATTTATGGACAGCTCAAAATGTATATTAATCCATTTTACAGTAATAAAAAAACCAATATGCATAAACTGGTACCTGCACACAACATAGTGAATTAAAACGTATGACAATATCACTAATGTGGAATTTTAGGAAGAAAGTAAAGAAATCTCAGTGAATGAATAGATTAGGAAACTTTGCTGGCATTGGATAGAAAATACATACAGAAAATGTTATAATAATATAACTATGATTTGCTTGTACTGGAACCCGCAAGGCCAGAGAAATAATGAGAGCCCAACATAAAACAACATGCAGAAGAGAACTGGAGATTAAGATGAAAATGATTGGGAGGACATAGGGACCAGCTACATGTAATGGCAAAGCAGAGGTGGCTTGGTATGAGTTGGGTAATGGCTTATGCTCCATTGAGAATAAGGGGCAAAAGAAAGAAGAATAACATAAGACAATCACACATATATACAAAAGAAAGAAGAATTAATAGCATAAGACAATCACACAAATATACAAAAGAAAGAATAATTAATAGCATAAGACAATCACACATATATACAAAAGAAAGAAGAATAGCATAAGACAATCACACATATATACAAAAGAAAGAAGAATAGCATAAGACAATCACACATATATACAACAGAAAGAAGAATAGCATAAGACAATCACACATATATATACCAAAGAAAGAAGAATAGCATAAGACAATCACACATATATACAAAAGAAAGAAGAATAGCATAAGACAATCACACATATATACAAAAGAAAAAAGAATAGCATAAGACAATCACACATATATACAAAAGAAAAAAGAATAGCATAAGACAATCACACATATATACAAAAGAAAAAAGAATAGCATAAGACAATCACACATATATACCAAAGAAAGAAGAATAGCATAAGACAATCACACATATATACCAAAGAAAGAAGAATAGCATAAGACAATCACACATATATACAAAAGAAAGAAGAATAGCATAAGACAATCACACATATATACAACAGAAAGAAGAATAGCATAAGACAATCACACATATATACCAAAGAAAGAAGAATAGCATAAGACAATCACACATATATACCAAAGAAAGAAGAATAGCATAAGACAATCACACATATATACAAAAGAAAGAATAATTAATAGCATAAGACAATCACACATATATACAAAAGAAAGAATAATTAATAGCATAAGACAATCACACATATATACAAAAGAAAGATGAATAGCATAAGACAATCACACATATATACAAAAGAAAGAAGAATAACATAAGACAATCACACATATATACAAAAGAAAGAATAATTAATAGCATAAGACAATCACACATATATACAAAAGAAATAATAATTAATAGCATAAGACAATCACACATATATACAAAAGAAAGAATAATTAATAGCATAAGACAATCACACATATATACAAAAGAAAGATGAATAGCATAAGACAATCACACATATATTGTTGTTAAAATGCTGTAATTTTCCAGAATAATCTGCCCTCTCACTAGCAAAATTTAGCAAAAGATGCAAATCGAGGATCATTTACAAAACTGCATTATTACAACAAAACAAAAAACAAAACTAGAACATATTCTTTAAAAAAAAAATGCATACACAATGTCAAAATCATGCAATAAAACCGTAAATGTGTATGTTAATAACACACTCAGCCTGTATGTGCGTGGATGTTAGTGTTTGGGTTCTTGCACATACCTGGAATAGTCATTTATAAGTAGTATTGACTACTAGTACAGAGGCTATTATTTTAATTTTTGTGTTAATTTATTGAAAAGTACATATTTAAACCTCCTACTGACTTTAAAGAAAACAAAAATAATGTCCACAGACAACACTGCCTGTCACCTTGGGTATGAAAGTGTCTGTACGAGGATGGAGAGCTGGCGAGAGATTGAGTTTCTTTCATGCAGACTGCGATAGAATAATGGGCTATCCTCCGAATAATGACCCCAAATTATCGAGGCCAGAAATATACCCTAACAGGTCCTCAGTCACATGTATCCGGCAACTATACAGCATACCACAGAAAAGCTTCCGTTGAGTTTAAGTGACCGCAGAAAGTTTCCCCTGCGCCGCTACGTGTGGCGTAGAGCGGGGCCAAACCAGATGGCTGGGACTCACAAGCAGCACCTACCGTATCTCAAGCAGCTTCCTCCATTTTATTTGCTCATGAGTCCCAGCCATCTAGTTTAGCGCGTAGCTGCGTGGGGATACTCTCGGCGGTGGCAGTATAGAAAGAGGTCTGCAATTTACATGTGACTGAGGCCCTGTTAGGGTATATTTCCGGCCTCGATCATTTAGGGCCGTTATTCGGAGGTTAGTTAGTCTTTCCTCCTGTGTCGAGTGCGGCACATAGGGCAGAGGTCATGACTCTCCATGCACGGCGGTCCGTTGCAATCCGTTGTAGGTCTTGGATGTTTAAGTGGCCCATGAGCGAGCCTTCCCTGATGATAGTTCTACGTAGGGTTTCCCTTGGTCTTCCACAAGATCTTTTCCCCTGTGGTGTCCAAATGAGGGCTTGGTAAGGAAGTCTTGATTTATCCATTCTAAGGGCGTGGCCGACATAGTTCCAGCGGCGTTTTCGTATAAAATTAGACACATACTCTTGCCTGGATTCCTGTCTTATTTGTGTATTGGTTCGGAAATCTGACCATTTGAAATTTAGTATTCTTCTAAGGCATTTATTTTCAAAACTGTCTAATTTTGTGTCTAGAGTTTTCATTGATTTCCAGCTCTCGCATCCATAGGTTAGTACTGGGATCACACAAGAATTGAAGATCCCGAGTTTTGTGTGTTTGCTAAGTGTCTTTGATTTCCAGATGTTAGACAGTTTATTGAAGGCACTAGATGCCAGTGCTATTCTAAATGATATTTCTGGTGCGGTATCTCCTGTAGATGACATCTTGCTCCCTAGATAAGTGAAACTGTTGACTTTTTCAAGGCTGTTGTTGTTCAGCGTGATATCAACTGAACTGTTGGTAAGGTCTAGAATTTTTGTTTTTGCTGTGTTAATTCGGAGTCCAATTTGTTCTGAGAAATTCTGGAGTCGATTGATTTTTTCTTGGGCGTCTGTGTGTTCTGAACTCAGGAGTGCTATGTCGTCGGCGAAGTCTAGGTCTTCCAGAATTTTGTCAACCCATGTAATGCCTAAATTTGCGTTATTTATGCACTTGCGCATGACCCAGTCGATTGCTATACCAAAAAGCATCGGCGATATCGGAGGATAGCCGAATAATGATATGAGTGAATGAGTGCGACGTTGTGCAAACAAACCTGCTAAATGATGGCACCTTCAAAATGCTTTCCTTTCAGTTCATGTAGACAACAGATTATGTCCTCCAAGACTGTTCCAAATACAACATATCAAGGCAAATCTTTTTGCCAAGAAAAACATTGCGCAAGTCTAACTTTACGGGTCGCTGAGTGAATTACAAAAAAAAGACAGTGAAGTTCATACTAGTACTAGTACTAGAGACAACATCGCAAATAATGAGATATAGTATAGAATCTAATTCAAGCGAACGAAAGAAGTAAGAAGAAGAATTCGTGTAGATCTAGAGACTGCCTTAGAAACCCACAAATAACACCGCTTTGCATAAAACCTACCATTGTATGTTAGACCACAGACACCAGACGACAATTTATGTAATAACAATTCAAACACACAGCAGACTATTTTCTTTGTGATTGTCTGATGGTTGCTACGAAACATTCGGTGCGAGGTAGTGCTCTTTGTAAATGGTTTTCATTTTTCCTAAAATTTATATATTATTCAACAATAATATTTTCTTTAGAATAAATAATACTTATTATTATTATATAATTTTTACTGTAAAAATTTTTTTTCAGACTAAGAGAATACGCAACTGATTTTAATGCCGGGCTAAATTACAGTGAAATCAAATGAGCAACAACGTTGTTAACGGTTACCCTGCAGTGTTGCCACTGTGGATGTTTTAATCTAGATTTAGATGTTTTCCCTTGCATTTAGATGGTGTTTTTGACATTTAGATGGTAGATGTTTTTCTTGATGGTTTTCATTTTAAAGTTAGATATTTTATAGATTTTTTTTCTTTCAGTTTCAGTTTATTAATTACTGTGACAAATATTTACTACAATGTTTTTGTTTTGGTCTGGCACGTACATTGTTACAATTGCGATTACTTAAACTTTGAACTCTCCCTGGAGTAAACGCTCAAATATCTGGCAGCCCCGGTACTGATTAAAAGCGCGCTTAAATCATACTAACTTTGTTTCAACTATGATGGGCTGGAGAACGCCAAAGACTGCTGTTGAGCAGCTTAACGATTTTGGTTTGTTTGGCCGATATCTTCATTTTGTCTGGTTTACGAAAGCGGAAAAGTCTTGCCACTGTGTATAAAAAGGCCAGCTCACTCGCTATTTAGGTCTTGTTGACTTCCTGATGGACTCTGTAAGAGACCTACCCAGCTATTGTGGCTCTGCACATTGGGCTAGCCAGCATGGGTACGGGCGACTGCAGGGAAGGCCGGTTGTCAGGCTGATTTCACGGTAATGGTATGTTTCCATAGTTAAATCTGAAATTTCTCTAGTTGTTAAACTGTAACGATGTGTCGGTGTGTATTCTCGCTAGGAGATAGTTCGATGGCAGGTCGCTATAAGTGATCTGTTAGTATGGTGGCATATCGAAGCTTAATGTACATGTTTAATATATTTTGGTTTTTGTCATTGTTGATGTAATCTCGCCGAGCGTAAGGTGTCATTATCATATTTCCTTGTTAGCTGGAGATGATTAGCACTTTAGATTCTGGTCGAGCACGTTAGTTGTTATTAATTTTGTTATTTGTGAACCACGCTGAATTTATGTTAAGTGAAATATACAGATCTTCAATGTGGTAATCACAGTTGCAGTTGTTTGTGGTTCAGGAATTGTGGTTAGTGTGCCTAGTTTATTTGTTG